TTTTCAAAGAAATTTATATTTTAATTAATGAAAATGAAATACATCAAAAATAATATCCGATTCACCATATTTTTTATTTCCTGGGTATTTTTCATTTTATTGTATAAGTAATAATTTGCAAATGTTTAGAAATATAATGTAAAAATGATTTATTTAGAAGAAATAACTCTAGCAAACCAATTTGAAAAAAATATGAAATACGTACACTTCCAATAATATTTATTTATTTTATAATCATATGTCCACATTTTATAACTAATTAAATAGAGAAAAAATATTTTCTCGAGTCTTTTTTTTTTTAAATATCGATTAACATGTGGAAGTTCAATGAAATATTAGTAATTGAATGAGAAATGATTATTCTCTCTCTCATATAAATATGATAAACACTCTTTCTTGCTGCACAATTGGATTTTAGAATATGAAAATTGTTTAAAGAACAAAATACAACAAACAAACAAACAAACATTTTCCTTTTTAATATTATTAAAAAGTATTTAAGTAGAAATCTATTCATAGAATGTCCTTTTCATGATAATGAAAAAGGACAACAAATTACAGTTTTTAAAATTAAATAGAATAGCTTCAATTTATTTCCAGGTAAAAAAAGAGTAGATTCTTTCGTGATTAATATATTGTTGATATTTATAAATACAATACAGATAAGATAAAATATAAGAATTAGTTTTTCAAAAAGTTACTATTGATCACAGTAATTTTTCTAAAATAATGCATCTTATGGTCAGATTATAAAATTAATGATCTTTGAAAAATTTCAAAATTCTTTTTTTTTATATTTCACTATAGAGAAACATTGCAAAATGTTATATAAACAACTTTATGTTCAATTATATTGTACATAGATATTCACTAATAGAAAATCTATTGAAGATTGTAAAAATATTCTATTTAATATTTTTTTTCTATTACATATTAACATTCATTGATATGAAAATAAATTTTATTTCAGATAAATAATATGATATTATTTAACATGTTCAATATTTGGTTATTATGGCTGTTTATTGGTCAAACATCAGGTATGCATTTTGTTAAAATAAGATATCTAACTTCATGCAACAATTTTTCTTTTAAAATAAAAATATCTATGAGATAATTCTGAATAAACTGATTGAATGTAGAATGTCTATCGTTAGGTTTATAATGATTTTTAATATTTACTGTAGGCATTGCATACAATCTACCGAAATTTTGTGCAAATGCAACATGGAATCCTGTAGCTATAACTTTTGCTACTAGTGCTATAGTTGGTACAAATCCTTATGGACTTTTTGTCGATACAAATAATACGGTTTATGTAGCTGATAGAGCAAACAGTCGTGTGCAAATTTGGTTTAACAATAGTGCAACACCGACCAGTACTATCTCGGGTGGTTTAAACACACCCTATAACCTTTTCGTCTCAGATAATGGTGATATTTATGTTGATAATGGTTATGCAAATAATCGAGTGGATAAATGGGCATTTAATTCGAATAGTAGTGTTCCAACAATGTATAATTGTGGACCATGTTTTAGTCTTTTTATTGATATCAATAATATGCTTTACTGCTCACTGTACAATGCTAATAAAGTTATCGCAAAATCATTGAATACAAATTTAAATATCTGGAATACTGTCGCTGGAACAGGAACTGCTGGAGCAACAGCGACTACACTTAATTTACCATGTGATATCTTTGTCGATAATAATTTAAATTTGTACGTGGCTGACACTGCTAACAATCGGATTCAGAAATTTGCATCAGGACAATTAAATGGAACAACAGTACCAACAGGAACTATCACACTTAGTCATCCAACTGGAGTTATTCTTGATGCTGATGGATATCTCTTTATTGTTGATCAAAGTAACAATCGTCTTATCGGTTCAGGGCCGTATGGATATCGATGTATAGCAGCATGTTCAGGAACTTATGGCTCATCATCTACTCAATTATGGGTTTCATATTCACTTCGTTTTGATAGTTATGGAAATATATTTGTTAGTGATCTATATAACAATCGAATTCAAAAATTTTTCTTGGTGACAAATGGATGTAGTAAGTGAAAATAAATCGTATTTATTTTATTAATTAAAATTATATCTTTTTTTTTAATAGATGTAACAACATCAACGACAACAATGGCTAGTGGTATTTTCTTATTAGTTTTTGTTTTAATGAGAATTTAGATTTGTTTTTTTTTATAGTAACATCAATGAATAGTACGCAATCAGTTCCTTTATTAACATCTACGTATGGAACAAATTCTACCATTGTATCTTCTTCGACGAGTATGTTGTTTATTAAATATTTTTCGGAAATTTTATTCAGATTTTTTCATATTATTCATATGAAATTTAGTTAGTTTAACATACTTTTCAGTGTACTGTTCGTTAAGTATGCAAATCTAGGTATAGAAAGTAAGAACAATATTAGTCGATAGCACCTGGTTAGTTTAGTAGAAATGAAAGGAACAGATAAAACATTGCCACGACGCTTCGAGCGAGTTTGACTTGATAAAAGAAATACTCACAATTCTCAGTACAGTTTTCCAATAAAATCTATCGCTTATATAAGTATCATAGAAAGAATTCTTACTAAATATATCTTTTCAGGTCTTTCATACAACCTCCCGAAATTCAGTGCTTATGCTACTTGGAGTTCTAATGGAATAACTCTTTTCAACAGTGCTACCATTGGAACATATCCATATGGTTTATTCGTTGATACTAACAATACTCTTTATGTATGTGAATATTCTCAAAATATAATTCAAGTGTCGCTTGAAAATAGTACCACACCTATAAGGTATATTAGTGGTGGTTTGTCCAGACCCTATACTACATTCGTGACACTTAACGGTGATGTTTATATTGATAATGGTTATGCATATAATCAAGTCGATAAATGGACATTAAATTCAACAACTAATGTTTTAGCAATGAATGTCAAAGGCACATGTTGTGGTCTTTTTATTGATATTTATAATACTATTTATTGTTCACAATGTACAATTCATCAAGTTGTTACAAAATCACTAAATAGTATTTCAAATATGTGGATAGTTGTTGCTGGTACAGATTGTTCAGGATCAACATCAAGTACACTTAATAATCCTCGTGGTATATTTGTCGATACAAATTTAAATTTATATATTGCTGATTATACTAATAATCGAATACAATTATTTATATCAAATCAATTAAATGCTATTACAGTAGCTGGTTCTGGAGCATCATCCACTATTACTCTTTCTAATCCTAGTGGAGTTGTTCTTGATGCTGATGGTTATCTATTTATTACGGATAGTTCCAATCAACGTATTATTGGTTCAGGTCCAAATGGATATCGTTGTCTAGTAGGATGTTCACAAGTTGCTGGTTCGGCATCTAATCAATTGAATAATCCACTAACGTTAAGTTTTGATAGTCATGGAAATATATTTGTTACTGATACAAATAATCATAGAATTCAAAAATTTTATTTAACAACCAATAATTATAGTAAGTAAAATAGAATCTTTTTCTTAAAGTTTGATAACTACGATAAAATCTAATCGAAATGATTTATTTGAACTAACCAATCTTAGTTTCATTTTTGTGTAAGACACAATAGTGGAATTGATTCTGATTATATTAAACTATCGAACTCTCTTAAGATCTTTATAAGATCGACCATACGATTAATATTGTTTAGGAAAGATTTCATTTAATAAGATGTTGGAACAATAATACGAATGATTTTTAATTTATCTTTATTTTTAGATGCAACTGTTAATCAACCAAATTTATGTCCATCTACAACTTGGTATACAGATGCGATTACATTTGCTAATAGTAGTACGGCTGGAACAAGTGTATTTGGTGTTTTTGTTAGTATTAATAATACTGTCTATGTAGCTAATCAACAAACTAATAAGATTGTAGTATGGTACGAAGGAAGTATTAATCCAAATAAAATTCTTTCTGGTAGTCTAAGTTCACCGTTTGATCTTTTCGTTACTCCTTCAGGTGATATATATGTTGATAATGGTGTAAGTAATGGGCGAGTTGATAAATTTTCATTTAACTCAAATATAAGTACTTCTGTAATGTCAGTTCCTTATGCATGTTACGGTATTTTTGTTGATATTAGTAATACTCTTTATTGTTCAACATTTACTTCTCATCAAGTTGTTAAGAAATGGTTAAATGATAATGTACTTACATCAACTATTGTAGCTGGTACGGGTACAGCTGGATCAACAGCAACTACGCTTAATACGCCTGTTGGAATTTTTGTCGATACTAAAATTAATTTATATGTTGCAGATTCCCTTAACAATAGAATACAAATGTTTCCCGTTGGACAATTAACTGGAATAACTTTAGCAGGAGCTAGTGTACCAGGAACTATTACACTTTATTATCCAAATGGTATTACATTAGATGGTAATGGATATCTTTTTATTGCCGATTGTTATAATCAACGAATAGTTGGACAAGGACCATATGGTTTTCGATGTTTGTTTGGATGTACAGCTACTGTTGGTTCTTCATCAAGTCAATTCAGTTATCCAACAACTTTAAGATTTGATAGTTATGGAAATCTATATGTTGCTGATAGAAGTAATAGTCGAGTGCAAAAATTTCTATTAGCATCAAACTCATGTAGTAAGTTAACTTTCAATTACTGTTTTCAATGATCTCAATTTATTTTATTTTAGGTATCTCTTATAATCAACCAACATTTTGTTCTAATGCTTTATGGTATTCTAATGCATCAACTTTTGCATCAAGTAGTACAACTGGTACATTACCTTATGGTATTTTTATTAATGGCATTAATACTGTGTATGTACCTAATCGAGTTAATAACACCATTTTATCATGGCCTCAAGGAAGTAGTACATCAACAAGTAATAGTTATAGTAATTTAAGTAATCCATATAGTCTTTTTATGTCTATGACTGGTGATATTTATATTGATAATGGTTATTCTTATGGTCGAGTTGATAAATATATATTTAATACATCAAATCATGTTACTGTTATGAATGTGAGTGGAAGTTGTTATGGTTTATTTATTGATATTAATAATAATCTTTATTGTTCACTTAAAAATCTTCATCAAGTTGTTACACTTTTACTTAATAATGGTACAACCATTCCGACAATTGCAGCCGGTAATGGCTCTGCTGGATCACTATCAAATATGCTTAATTCTCCTCAAGGAATCTATGTCGATAGTAACTTAAATCTATATATTGCAGACAGTGCTAATAATCGTATTCAATTTATTCAAACTGGTCAGTTAGATGGAACGACAATCGTTGGTAATGGGTCATCAGCAAACATTATACTCAACTATCCAACTGGAATTGTCCTTGATGCTAATGGTTATCTTTTTATTGTCGATAGTTATAATCATCGTATTGTTGCTTCAAGTTCTACTGGTTTTCGATGTATAGTCGGGTGTTCGGGAGGTGGTTCATCTGCGTCGCAGTTATCACTTCCACAAAGTATGGCTTTTGATAGTTATGGAAATATATATGTTACTGATCGAAATAATAGTCGAGTGCAACAATTCGCTTTTCAAACTAGCAGTTGCAGTAAGTTATTTGTATATAATGAAACATTATAAAGTTGTAGTTGATAATTAGTTTTTTTTGCGACTATCATTTGAAAAGTTGATAAAAATGAAATGAAATGTTGCTTGAATTATTTGATTTCATATTAATGTTTTTCGTATAACTTCCCTCTAATTTTATTAAATAAAGTACAGCTGTTTTATATTTTAGTAATACCAACCACCACCACTACTACTACCACTACGAGCAGCAGCAGTACTACAACTAGCACTACCACCACAACTACCACTAAGACTACAAGCAGTAGCAGCACTACAAGTAGCACTAGCACTACAACCAGTACCACAAGTAGGAGTACTACAAGCAGTAGCAGTACTACGAGCACTACTACTACCACCACCAGTAGCACTACTACTACTACTACCAGTACCACAAGCACCACTACCACTAGCAGTACTACTACGAGCAGTAGCAGTACCACCAGCAGCACTACAACTACTACCACCGGTACTACAAGTACTACTACTACTACCACCACTAGTACTACAACGAGTAGCAGCAGTACCACAAGTAGTACTACTACGAGTAGCAGTAGCACCTCAAGCAGCACTACTACCACGACCACCACTAGCAGTACTACTACTACCACTACTACCACAAGTACTACAACAAGTAGCAGCATTACCACAAGTAGTACTACTACGAGCAGTAGCAGCACCACAAGTAGTAGTACTACTACTACCAGCAGTACCTCAAGTACCACTACAACCACTAGCAGCAGTACCACAAGTAGTACCACTACGAGCAGCAGTAGCACCTCAAGTAGCACTACTACCACGACTACCACTAGCAGTACTACTACCACTACTAGTATTACTACAAGCAGTAGTAGTACCACAAGTAGCACTACTACTACCACCACCACCAAAAGTACTACAACAAGTAGCAGCAGTACCACTACGAGCAGCAGCAGCACCACAAGTAGCAGTACAACGAGTAGTAGCAGTACTTCAAGTAGTACTACTACCACTATCACCACCACCGGCAGTACTACAACGAGCAGTAGTAGTACCACCACTAGCACCAGCAGTACTTCAACTAGCACCACTACAAGCAGCAGCAGTACTTCAAGTAGCACTACAACCACGACCACCACTAGCAGTACCACTACAAGCAGTAGCAGCACCACAAGTAGTAGTACCACAATTAGTACTACCACTACCACTAGCAGTACCTCAAGTAGCAAGGCTTCCATCACAACTTTTCAAGGATCATATATCAATGAAAGTAATAATATGAATAATATAAAAAATAATTTATCGACTTTTTTTTTCTAAACTAGCTTGTTATTCACCGACGATTACATTGATTCCTGGACAATCATCTCTATCATCTCCAATGTCGTATCGACGTAGTCAAGATTTTTCTATTAGTTCAATGATTCAATTTAATTGTGATGGTTCACTTTCAACAACTACAAAATGGACAATAAAGAATTGTACTTCAACTAGATGTTCATTTGAAATTGTATTAAATGAAAAAGTTATGACAACATTTAGTGAACTTTATATTCCATCAAGAACTCTTGCGTATGGTGTTTATCAACTAACATTAACTGTAACAATGATTGATTCACCGAATTTAAAAGCATCATCTTCAGCTTATGTGAGAATAACTGCAACAGGTATAACAGCAAATCTTGTTCAATTAGGAACATCTATGATAACACGAGGTGATCAACAAGATCTTTTACTTGATCCTGGAACATTTTCGGTTGATCCTGACGAAGATATATTTGATGCAACTGTAAGTAATATAACTGTAGATCAATACTTGAATAAATGTTCTTTTATTTTTAAACAATAGAAATGGAAATATACTTATTATTGTCGAATTTATGATTTATATAATTTTCCAAATATACAAGGCATATTATTATCAATTGATGATTCAAGAATTGATCCTTATAATCCATCATGTTTGTTCAATCGATCAGGTAATATTAATTGTTGATAGTTTTATATGTCGAAATAAAAGAACTCATAATTAAATAGGATTGGTATTCGGAAATTTAACTTTATCACCTAATTCATCTCTAACAGTTCTCGGTGGTTCACTTCAATTAAACCAAATGTATCAATTTATGGTCTATATGGAAAATCGTAAGAATTCTTCTATTCAAGCAACAGGTTATGTACTTGTTACAGTTGCAATTACTCATCCACAACTGATTGCTGTTGGGTAAATTCTCCCCAAGTTTTTAATCGAATTATCTTAGTGAAAAATATTTGTTTTAGTTGTGTAATATCATCAATGTGTGTTCCAAATCTTGAATTTCAACTTCTCAATCCAACAACACAAGTCGCTCTATTTACTCTTTGTATTGGAACTTGTACGAATCTTGAAAGTATTAAATGGAATATTTATCAAGGATCAGACAATTCGATATCTTCAAATTCTACTCAATGGACTTTATTTAATAATACGATTTTATATGAAAATATTTGGTTTTTTGGTAAAAACCTTCTTTCAATCATCAGATATCTATATTTATTGATTATTTTAGGTACAAATACAAGTAATTTCACAGCAACAGATTTATTATTTCTTAATAATCTTCAAATAAGTCTTTGGCGTTTTGAAGTTGTTTATACATTTCTATCCGCAATAAGTACAAGTGCATTGAATTTTATTATTAATCAACCACCTGCAAATGGTTCGTGTTCAATTAATCCTCTTAATGGTACTATAACTACTTTATTCACTATTGAGTGTTCAAACTGGTATGATGTAGATGGAATACGAGATTATTCATTATATGGTATGTTTAGTTTTCATTATGAACTGATTTTTTCTCAATGATAGTGACATATTCAACTCTTGATTACGTCTCAGTGTTGATCTCAACAAGAAAAGTTTAGTTTTTCATGTAGAGGAATAAAAAAACAGTATATTTAGCAAATGGTCTTTTCTAGACATATCTCTATGAATATAAATCTATCATTGGAAGAGAAAAACGGTTTATTTACTCGAGTCATAATAAAAATATTTAATATTTCGTTTGGTTACCTAACTTTTGCACATTCTGCCGTTTTAGCGTGGACAACAGACATATCACAACGAACAATAATTGCATTTTCACCAGAAGACAGTTTTCAAGTTCAATTACCAGCTGGTGATAATGAAACTTCATTACTCAATCTTGTTGTTTATGTTCGAGATCCTGTGGGTTCTGTTACACAAGTGAATATATCTTCTGTTAATGTTATTGCAGATTTGGCAATAATTAATGATTTAATTGATAAAATAACAAATTTATCGAGTACAATAACAAATAATCCAATTGTTCAATTACTTTCAAGTGGAAATCAAAATGTTGTTGGACAAATACTCATTTCATTATCACAAGGATTCAATCAAATGAATAGTGAAAATTTAGATAAAGCTATATCAAGTAATTATTGACATTTAGTTTACGATAGATAATAAAAATAATCTTTCTTAGATGGAATACCAGCTGCAACTATTTTAGTATCATCATTAGGAAGTCAAAGTTTACAACAAGTAATTGAGTTTAATACGTTTTATTTTATTTTATTTTTATTTAAAATAGATTTCAATACCATTAAATGAATCAGCTTTGATTAATTATAATATACAATTAAATTCTCTAGCAAGTGTTAAAGATTATCTAGTAACATTTATAACTAATCTTCCCATAACAACATCAAATAGTATTATATTACAATCATCATCATTAGTTCAATTAACTCAAGCAACAAATCAATTAACACGAAATACTTTAGTAAAATTAAAAATAATATATTGTATTGAAGATTTTTATATTTTTGAATAACTGTAGATGCTTGTATCAAATCGATGTTATGAATTATCTGCTGCTCTATATGCAATGTTTGAAAAAATCTCATATGAAGATGCTCAATCAGCATCAAATCAACTTTTTCAATGTGCTTCAAATATTTTAAATGTAAAATTTATAAAATTAGTATTCTTATCTCTCTATCAAACTCTTGAGGCTGTGGGTGTAGATGATAATACGAGATAATATCAACACCCATACCCACACCCTTCAATGATTTTGACATAAAAAGAATTTTTTTTTCTTCAATTATCGATCTTGATAATTTTAGGGTGTGAATGGACCATTACAAGGACGAACAGATGTGCTTGATTTGGATTATTCTCGTGCAAATACCATGCCTACTGATTATGATACTGATCTTGAATCTGCATGGTCAAATACAAGTAACAGTTCTGGATGAATGATTTATTTCTAGTTTTTTTTTTATTTCTAAAAGATTTATTTGGTGGTGGTGATGAGACATCAATTGAAAAAAATCGAAATCTTTATCATCAAAAACAATTAGCAAATCAAATCAATAGTCAAGTAGCACAAATCATATCACTATTAACTTCTTCATTATGTATTCATTTAAATATTGGTCAAAGTTCACTAATGAATACATCTCAATCATTTGTATCATTAGAAACTATATCAATTGCATCACTTAAAGATAGACTAGTGAAACAAGTTGAAAATACTCAATTTAATATTCCATCAGATTTTAGTTTAAATACAACGTCTAATTCTTCAATTTCACTTCGAGTAATTTTCTACAATTTGAATCATTTTTTATTTAGTTATTTTTTGTTTTATTTAGTCAAGAGTAGATACACTGGCGTCATTTGGAAATTTTCAAAATACAAATCTTTCAAGATCAATTTCACTTTCAATGATTGATCAAAATGGAAACGAAGTTTCGTTTCAAGCCCATCAAAATAATCCAATCCAATTGATTATTCCTCGTGATCCAAATCTAATAATTCCATCAATGTATTTACAAAATGTTACATCAATTAATTCAACTATTAATAATTTATTATTTAATTATCATTATATTAATATAACAAGTTCACTTCCGATTTCAGTTCATTTTGAAATCCGTTCTTTGAATAAAAGTCTTGCTTATTTATTTATTTATAAATTTGATCAAACACCACAATTAAATAGTTCAATTAATCTTATTGATGGATGGACACTTTTTTGTCCTTTCAGTAGGTTTTCTTTTCTTGAACATTCATATAGATTTGTTTTTTTTTGTAATTATAGATTTAACCAATGATGATATATATCGATATTTTATTGATAATCAACAAACACCTGGTCATCAATCATTAATATTTGGAATAAGAGAATTAAATTCAACAGAAATGAATAATTATTGTTTAAATAACTCTTCAATAAATACGTCTTTACCAATTACCGATGAACCATTCAGTTTTACATCAAATTATGAACTTCGTATATATACATCAGGTTGTTATTATCTAGATGAAAATAATAATTGGAAATCAGATGGATTAATTGTAAGTATAAAATGGATTAGGAAAATAAAGAATATTTGATATTTATTTAATCATAGGTTGGATCATTGACAAATTTGTATGAAACTGAATGTCTTTCAACTCATTTAACAACATTTGCTGGTGGTTTTATTGTTTTACCTGCACCAATTAATTGGAGTTATGTTTTTGCCAATGCTGATTTTATGAAAAATAAAACAGTTTATTTAACAATGATATTTACTTCAATAATTTATATTGTGTTATTGATTTATGCACGTTTTAAAGATAAGAAAGATTTTGAAAAAGTAAAACTTAAAACCTATCTTATCTATTTCATAGAGCCAAAATATGTATTTTTGTTTTAGTTGGGAGTAACACCATTAGCTGATAATAATAAATCTGATCATTATTATTATCAAATTCTTGTTTTCACTGGTCAAAGAACAAATGCAGGAACAGATTCAAAAGTAATAGAGTACAAAGAAAATAAATATTTTAAGGAAACTTTTTTTTTCTTTCTGCAAGGTTCATTTTGTTTTATCGGGTGATAATGATCAAACACAAGTTCGATTATTTTCTGATCCTCATCGAAAGATTTTTCAACGTGGTGGAATTAATTCTTTTATTATTGCTGTTCCAAAGTAAAACTATTATTTTTTTTAAAGATATTATAAAATATTAATATTTAGATCATTGGGATTATTAAATTATATTCGTATTTGGCATGATAATTCAGGTGAAGGTTCTTCAGCATCATGGTTTCTGAAATATATTATTGTTCGAGATTTACAAAGTTTGAATAAGTTTTATTTTATTTGTCAACAATGGTTTGCAGTTGAAAAAGATGATGGACGAGTAAGTCGTGTGATTGAAAACATACTATTTCTTATTTTTGTCTTGAATTTAGATTGAAAGAACTTTACCGATTGCTAGTGACGCAGAAAAACAAGAATTTTCATATGTATTATCAAAAAAAGCTTATCATAGTGTGTCCGATGGTCA